ATGGGGATCCGTAGGCCAGCGCTCTCGCCCCAGAGCCACCGAGGCGGCTTTTTTGCTAGGGATATGCATTAGAATACCAATCTTTTTTAAACAAACGTTCTGTGGTTGAAGGTCAAGGGTTGCGACTTTGTTGGGCGTAAACTGCGATGCGATTCATTGACCTAAGGGTTGCCTAAAGTCAATGTTGAGTTGTTTGTGATCTCGAAGTCATCAGAGCTTAACAGACGGTAAGTCACAAGGTTTTTACTGGGGACATTCACATTGTTTCAAGCGCTTGTACTGCGTACTTGTCAAGCAAGTTTTTGCTTTGAACTGCAGTGGGGGGAGGGCTCCGGCGACAAACTAAAATGACCGTGCCCTTCATGTGATGAACGAGTCATTTATTTGGCAACTGAAGCAAGCGGCGACGCCGGCATAGTAGGTGGTGCTACAGCATGTTTTATTATTTTAATCGGCGTTCGAACACTTGACAAATACTCGCCTTCGAGCACCGGATACAAGCTTCAGTATTCCTACTTTCGTGTTTTTCCATGGACTTGCGTGTATTGCCTGGTGTCAAGCAAGAGCCGCTGGTGGTGCCGCCGATGGGCACCTGATGTGCGATCCACCCTACTACAATAGAGATCAGTGATCGCGGACCCCTTTTGGACTGGCGGAGGCAATGAGGAGCCCATGCAGCGGGGGGTAGGGGTAACAGGACCACGTCTGTGAAGAAGAAAATCGGGGGAAGAGTGAAAGCAGGTGCACTTCTGCAGGTTTTGAGGTTTCCGGAATTGTGAATGAGCCAAGGCTAAACATTGCATGCCAGAGCTTCGTGGAAGCCCAAAATGCCTTCGTGCAGTCCAAGGGTTCTGCAGACCCACCTTTGAGAACCACTGAGTAGCGTGACTTCGTGAAAACCAAATGTTGGTAGAGAGACAAAGCCAAAAGGTTTCGACAGGGGGCTTTCTAAACAAACAAGATATCTTCTCAAAATTAATATAAACAGTTGTCCACACAAACAAAACTTCGCCATTTGAAACACTAATACTTTTGTGGAATCTTTTAAGAACCCTATCAGTAAGGTTTTTAACAGCTGTTTCATTAGTTATTATAAACAGTGGAAGCTTTTAGAAGTGCTCTGCTTTATTTCACGCCGATATATCATATTTACACGAATGTAGGTCGACCCTTTTTTTCAATTTTTAAAAATCTGGAGTGGGGGAGTCGACTTATATTCGAACCAAAGCATTCCACCGCCCGCAAAAACGAAACAATCGCGATATCATGAACACCTCGGCTTGTTACGAGTTCAGCCGGTTGTACCTCTAGCACTGCACTAGTCTGTGCGCTCATTTAAGAAATTAATTATTGTTTTATTTGCGCGAACGAGTATGATTGATAGCGATTAGCAAATAACCCGAATATACGGCGAACCGCGCATAGCGTGCCCGACTCCCAGGGGGTGGTGGCACTTCTTGTAAGAGCCACTCTGGCAACTCCGAAGGCCGCTGGAACAGCCTCACGGCCCATTCACCCCGCGGCTTCCCTTCGCAGTTTTTCGAGCGATTCACGGTCGCACATCGTTTGATAGTGTCGAGATCATGCTGGAGCGCTATGTTTAGTTTGTATTGACACGCTTGATCCGGGGAGTTTAGGGTTTCGGTGCTCGTTTATAGCCATTTTGCACTCAGAAGCAACCAAGTGCGCTGGTGGACGCAAGTTCGGCCCGTCGGAGCGGGTGATGCTCCAGTAGAGTCTGCAGTGGCACGGGATGTGACGGCAAACAAAGAGGCTTCCGCAGTCCAAAGTCTCGATAGGTGAGGGATGCCTTCCGGAGTTGGAGGTCAGGCTTGAACATACGGCGCAAAAGTGTGCAATCAGTCCCTACCCGTGACGTCCAACGTGATCACCGAGCAAGCGCGGAAGATGCGGTTGATCATTTGCGAAGTGCAAGATTTCGTTAGATGACGCCGATGACGTGCTTCGAGAACGTAGCAGTGACGATGACGGTACTGACATCACCAGTGCGGACGAGTCATAGTCTAGTCACGGATGGAGTGAGAACGACAGGGAGCTGATTCAGTTGTCCCGCCTCCAGCATGAACTTCCTAGTTTCGATAACGCCTGGGCATCTCATGCATCTCGCGCGTGCATGTGAGCAGCACGCCAGAAGGCATCGATCGCGTGTTGCAGGCTCGGCATCCCAAACAGATACTTTGCCGTTCTCACGTGCTCTCAGTAAAATGCGCATCTAAATTTATTTATTTTTATGTGCAATTGGGGGGGGGGGGGGGAGGTCGACTTACAACGGAGTTAACGTACAATCGCGTAAATACGGTATTTCACCATACTTAGCCTCCGAAGCGAATCTGAAATCCAAGTTGAAGGAGGTGTAGAGGGCGCAACCCTCGCGTACGTGATTGCCGTTATTTACGAAAGAATAAAGTCACTTCTGGTTCTGGCACGAACGTGTTCAGACGAACCTTCTTCTTACCCTGCATGGTCTCCACATGGTGTTTGCAGTGCCTAAAGTTATGCCTAACGAAGTATGCATCGCCTTGGCATGAATCGTCTCCGCCGTAACTGCGTAGTTCGCTCGCCCGTCGCCCGGCTTTCGACCGCCGTGTTCCTGCTCGCCGCCGTCCTGCTCGCTGCCATGCCTGACGGCGAAGGGGACGGTGTCAAGCCTTCATGGCAGGGCCTTTCTCTGCATCAGCCAGACCGCTTCGACTTCGAAAACGCCGGTTCCTGACCGACGTGGCTAAGCCTTTTCGAGGACTACGCCTTCGCTTCCGGGCTTCGACAGGCGTCGGGAGAAGTTCAGGTCCGCACACTTCTTTATTGCATGGGGCCGGAAGCTCGTCCTCTTCTTGCGACTTTCGGCCTCGGCGACGCTCCTAATGACTACAAGGTGGTCGTAGGGAAGTTTACGGCCCATTTCGTCCACCCCCTGAACGAGGTGTACGAGTCGGCGCAGTTTCACCGGCGCGTCCAGCAGCCGGGGGAAACGGTGGACACCCAAGTAGCACAGAATTTTCTAAAATCATCGGCCATGCCTCGGCCATTGCTAGGCCAACGATCAATTTGGTCGGCCACCGGCAAATCCTCGGTGGACAACCAAAAACCATGGTCGGCAAAAGCCAGGCCACCGATGCCTCGAATTCAGCTCGGCCATTGGCAAAGGGCAGTGCTCGGCAAACTCTCGGCCATCCAAGGTATTTTTTTACATGTTGGCCACCAAGGAAGGGCCTAGCCCGGCATTTGCCCAGTTGCCAAGGCCTTGTTTTCACCTCGGCCACAGGGCAAAAACACGAGGGCCGGCATTTGCCAGGCCACCGAGGTCTCGTTTTCACCTCGGCCATTGGGCAAAAAACAAGGACCGGCATTTGCTAGGCCACCGAGGCCTTGATTTCACCTCGGCCATTAAGCAAAGACCGAGGGCCGGCATTTGCTAGGCCACCGAGGCCTCGTTTTCACCTCGGCCATTGAGCAAAGAACGAGGGCCGGCATCTGCTAGGCCACAAAGGTGTATCCAAGGGTCGTTTTCAGCCTGGCCATGGAGCAAATACCGACGCGGCATTAGCCTGGCCACAGATGTATAACCGAGGTCTCGTTTTCACCTCGGCCATTGGGCAAAACACAAGGGCCGGCATGTGCTAGGCCACCGAGGCCTTGATTTCACCTCGGCCATTAAGCAAAGACCGAGGGCCGGCATTTGCTAGGCCACCGAGGCCTTGATTTCATCTCGGCCATTGAGCAAAGAACGAGGGCCGGCATCTGCTAGGCCACAAAGGTATATCCGAGCGTCGTTTTCAGCCTGGCCACGGAGCAAATACCGACGCGGCATTAGCCTGGCCACAGATGTATAACCGAGGTCTCGTTTTCACCTCGGCCATTGGGCAAAAAACAAGGGCCGGCATGTGCTAGGCCACCGAGGCCTTGATTTCACCTCGGCCATTAAGCAAAGACCGAGGGCCGGCATTTGCTAGGCCACCGAGGCCTTGATTTCTTCTCGGCTATTGAGCAAAGAATGAGGGCCGGCATCTGCTAGGCCACAAAGGTATATCCGAGGGTCGTTTTCAGCCTGGCCATGGAGAAATTACCGACGCGGCATTAGCCTGGCTTTGTTTTCACCTCGGCCATTGAGCAAAAAACAATGTGACATTTGCCTGGCCAGAAAAGGCATAGCCGAAGGTCATTTTCACCTCGGCCATGGGGCAAATAATGCTAGCTGTGGCATTTTCATTGCCACTAAAGGTATAGCAGACGGCAGTTTTCTCCCCAATCTAAAGGCAAAATAACATGCGAGAACAGATGTTTGTGTTTGTAGGTTCATCATGTTGCAGGCAACAATACTCAAGCTCTAGGCATCACTGTAATGCACTCAAGGCACTGGGGTGGATCAGCTAGGAGGCATCCAGATAGAGGTCTTTGTGATCTGAACATCATATGACGCACCCATTCTTATTGAACCTTCATGTTACAGCACCTGCTGCTTCGCTGTGCAAAAAGAAAAAAGATTGACAAAAACCTACCTAGTTGCAATTGCTCATGATAATCAAAGTCTAGGCTAAATTGCAGTTGCACTAGCTTTCCAACAACCACCTCCGAAGTCTGGCACAAATGATGTGCAATGTTTCTTGTCTCCCCGTACAAAAAAAATTGGTGTCATTTACAGTGTATGTTATCTACTAGGCAAACAAACAACAAAGAAACAGTTTACCGATTTCACAAGAATATAGTCTCCGAAGGATATATATATTGCCTAGTCCAAAAATTTCAAAGGTGTTGGTGGCCAGGCTGTTGGTTAACTGATCATGAATTCAACGGACACTGGAAGAAAGGGTCATCAGTTCGATTCACTGTCAGATTAAAAGTGCATGTCCCCAGGTTAGTCAATTTATACCAGCAAAAAAAGACACCAATGTGTTGAAATTCGAAATATGTTTGTCCTGTCCGCCTTCTTTGTATAACTCTTTCGTATTTTTGAATCAGGGCTGTTCAAGAAGTATCCAACCTTTGGAAGGAAAAAATACATTTATTTGCCTTGAGGTCTAAAACTCTAATCCCCTTCAAACTACTCCCCTTGGGATAGCACACACTTCAATGTTTGAAAGGCTTAGCTGTTTATTCAGCCAGCTGTTCCGGTGCCCTGGGCCTCTTGTGCCGTAGTTCACATGGTTTCTGAATGAGCCGAAGTCCTATCTTCTTTGATGACTTGGCTGCCTCCAGTTCCACATGGCCCAAGCCTCAGCACATTGCCTGCAAAATGATATGAGAGCAATTCACTTATAGGATCAAGACAAACAAAATTTAATTTAGACTAATAGCTTCTTTTCATGTCACCATTTTGGAACAATGTTTCTACCAAACTAGACAAGCAGAAAATCGAAGAGTTGCCACTCATATGGCTGCATGAAAAAGTATAATCTGCTTGTAACACTGGAATGTGCTTGCCAGAGGCGAGTTACAGCATAATGATGTGCTGTATTACCAATTTCATGTGATCGTTTAAAATCCTCTAAAACTGTGAAACTACGGCACCTGAAAAAAAGTATATGAAGTATACAACCACTACTATTTGCATTGAGAGCTGCCACTAAATACTGTTTTGTCTGAACTACAAAAAGTACAGTGGACTCGCAATAATTCAAACTCTGATATTTCGTACTGCCATTAATTCAAACAAATTTACAAATTTAGTTTTTTCCCTAAATTTTAATGCATCTATAAGCTGTTTAATTCAAACAATGTTTTCGCTCCATTCACACTATTTGTTCATTGCGGAGGGTTAGCCCCGTTGAGTGCGCTTCTCATCGAGCACCTGTGTACTCCGGAAAAGCAATACACGCGAAGCTCGTGGTCATTGCTTTGCCGCAGTATACGGGTGCTAGGTGAGAAGCATGCTCGATGGGACTAACCCATCCCGATTATGCAAGGAGCACTGTTCTGACAATCTGCTTTCATTATTTGTGCTTTGATTTTTCTAAGGGGGATTAAATTCCAGATGAAAGAAAGAATATTTGCATATAGCAAGCAGATTTATAAATTCCTTCGATTAGGATAGCTGGCCGTTTGTTTAGGTTTAATTTTATGTGAAATCTGTCATTTACATGCCACCCCAATGTAGGCATTGGACTTACAGAGGCCACAGTTCATATATGTAGTTATATTAAAACTAACTGAGCTTAGAAGTGGACAAGGGGAAGGTTGGGAACAACCTTCACAAGTTAAGCTGAATTTTTGTTTAAGCACGGCACAACAGTAGTAAAAGGCTTTGAGAAACTATTCTATATTCAATTAGAAAATATTCGGCCAATATTAATATTTGCTTTAAGCCTCACCATTGTTTTATGTGTGCCCTTTTTTAAATAGGCCTGTGCAGAGGATAGTATAAAAAACTGCTTGGTATATGTAGTTATTGCTATAGCAATTTCATACTTTGCCTCATATCACTTTTCCATAAATTTCCGATAATTCAAACTTCTCATATTTCAAATTAAAGTCTGTGGCTTTCAGGAGTTTGAGTTACTGAGAGTCGAGTGTATTAGAAAATATTTCCGGTCCTCCAAAAACCAAGAACCTGAACATTGACTTCAAGCAACAGCTTTTCTAGCTGCCAAATAAGTAACATGCCACACCAGAAGTGTAAAGCTTCCTTCAGTGACATGAATAGCAACCTTACACAAAAGATGAGCACCAGGTAACTTATGCACAGGAGGCGGCTGTCGCCATGTAGGAAAGTAACGCAACTCGCAAACGTCCCTAACACAGAGGGGCATGCCCACCCCAAACTCCTGGATAGCCTAGGTCTGCTGAAAAGCCTCGTCCATCTATCTTGGAGTCCCCAAGTAGCAGCAATCAAAAAGTCAACTTCCCCTCGAGGCAGACTGCCCTCAAGCCCCTCCCAGTGGCCTTCGTTATACCAGAAGCCCAAGATGGATTACGTTAGTGAAGAGTCCTCTCGCTCGTTGCCTAGGAAAAGGTGAGGAGGAGCATCACCACTCGGAAGGTCTAGGGACCATTAACGCAGCACATCTCTATCTTCTGTTTTGGTTTGATCACATTTACACTGCATTGGAAAACCATAAATGCCTGCAGAAGCAAGTCACTGGATTTTGGAAAAACAGCAGTGGACTGTTTTTCATTATTCCACACTGTTCATTGTTAATTTGTTACACCAGAGACCGCTATTTCACTAGAAATGGCAGTTGGTGGCTGCACTGTCATTGCACAATTAATAAGAGCATGAGTCTCTGGCAATGGAAGTTTTTTTAGTAAAACTGGTGCTCTAAATAATGTTGTGGTTCAAGAAAATGATGATGATGAAGATAAAAATTTAAATAACACTTGAATGTGATGGGTTTTAAAGCCGCAAGCCACATGGTCTTGAGCAGAGGTTGGCGACACCTTTTGTCATAAAAGCACCTTCAAACAAAATATTGATAAACATTAGATCTCTCTAAACAAAAGAGGAAACCATCACTTCATTCTGTGATTTTGGTTTGCTTCAACTTGCAATAATTTTGACATTGCCTTGAAGTTTCACTCTAAAAGAAATTTCTTATGATGAATGTACCGAAGACTGGGCCTCAGCTAAATTTAAATGGAGAGAAAGGTTCTTAATTAAGCGGCACACAACAGAACATATAAAGGGAGATTTTAAGAAACCCTTTCCATGGGTGCACTTCCACTTACAACCATCTCCAAAAGAAAAATATTTTGCTGGACTTTAGTGCCTTCTATAGAAGAGTACGGCTGGGCAATGGATAGAATAACCGACCAATTAATCAAATATTGCTTTAATCTGGATTATTCTGTTTATCCGGTCAACCGGTAAAACTTTGACGAACCAAAAGAAAATCAAAATTAAATGCTTTTACCATAAAGAAATGGCCGAGTACATGCATATGAAGGGCAAAGTTTAGGTGAAATTTTAACCTAAAATAAACTGTAAGGGCAAGATTTGTAACTCCAGACAAGGTGCAGAGGGTTACATGTGCTCTGGCCACTTTAACATATATTGAGTGTCTGTTTAGAACAGCGAGAACAATCAAAGGAAGCCGCTCTTGCCGATGAATATCAACAAACCTCTTTGCCTCATGCAACTCAAGTAATAAACTGCGAGTGTGTCCTCAAACTGTTGTCAACTATGTATTGAAGTTGATTCATAATCAATTTTGTATACTGTTTATCAAACATTCAGCGAAGGCAAACAAAAATATATATAATTTTGAGTATGCATGGAAAGGAATGAGAATGATTAATCTATTAATAATCGGTTAAGGGATGGCAATTATAATGAGGCTTAAATTATAATCAATGCTCAGCCCTACAGTCCAGTCATTGTTGCTAGAAGCTGAAATGACCAAGCGACGACTGACAACAGTGGCACTGCCTTAACAAGAAAACTTCAACTAGCGATAAAAGATAACGTTCAGAAGAGATTGCAGTGGCATGATGCCTGACTCGGCTTGATCATGGTTGAGAACAGCACACCTTGCTGCAGATGTGCTGCTCCTGGCATTGTTTATAGTCACCATTATGTTTGCCTGCTGAGTCATAGGACAAAGTTATTGGGCTGGGACAAAGGCCACCGGCCCAGATAATTGAGGCGCCAACAAGCACGGCTAGGCGATAGCAAAACATAAAGATGACTCAAATCGAGGTGCTCCTAAACGATGAGAAACAGGCAGAGTGGCATAGCAGTGGCCATGCACTCTTGTCCTCAAACCGCCTCTTATTGCTATTTCAGCATCTCTTGTAGAAGCCCAGCAAGCAGTGGATTTCGGTCATTGCACTAACATTTCAGCTTGCACTGTCCAGGACTCAGCACGACCCCCAACATACTCAAGGACAGAGATACAAAGAAGCAACCTACTAACCTCTGTGTAAATGTGATCAAAGAAACAGGGAATACCCTCGAGCTTATAGCCTAGAAAATAGAAAAGCACCATACACAACATTAACTTCCTAAAAGAGAGGGACATCAAGCCTGGTTCTAGGGAAAAAGATATAGGCTAAAAAAGTTCTTCCACTCACAGTCAAAGCATAGGAGAGACTTATTCACCACAGTTACAAGCTTCAATTTTGTTACTGATTCTTTCAGTATAAATTTGTGGACATTCTCTTGGGTCAAAACGTTTTCAGGACAGATCCATAAAGGGTCACAATTATTCCCTCAAATGTTTTCACAGTTCCAAATACTGACCCCTGTTTTTATGCAATCTTTGCAACAAATTCTGCAAGAAAAGCAACAAAAAAAAACCACTTGAATAAATGTAATATTTGTGCGCCCTTATGGGATCCTGCTGAAATAGTTTTGACCGAAGGGAATGACTACAAGCATATACTGCAAGAATCAATAATAATAATATTGATAAAGCATAGAAATGCGTTGACTAAGCCCTTTCTGTGTTTCGACTCTGAGTGGAACAGGCGTACAGGGACGTAGCCAGGGAGGGGGAGGGGTGCTTATGGGGCTTCAGCCCCACCCCGAAATCCAGCCGACCCTATAATATTATACACAAACATTTTGACCCCTTACCCCTCTCCGAACCCGAAGTAAAGGACATCCCAGCCACCCCCCCTAAAAAGAAAAAAAAAAAAATTCTTGGCTATGCTACTGCTTTTTGCCTGTATTTTTTCGTTAGAAACAAGTTCGATGTCCACCCGTTTTTGGAAACTTGACCTTGTGTATGATGTTTTTGTACTTCCTAGGTTAAAAACTCAAGCTATTCTTCTTTCAACCACATTTATTCAGAGGTTCGTAGGTTGCTTCGTTTCATTTGTTGTCTTGGGGAACTTCGGGGTTGCGTACAGTAGAAGGCTGCAATATCCGGGAACGAATTCCCTTTGTAGGGTGGTTGTAAGCAGGAAAATAATATTTGTAAAGAGTGCCTTTGTGTCTCCCTCTTCAGGGTTGCCTATTTATTTTTAGCCCATTCTTTTAGACTTCAGTGTTTGCATCATCCTTCATGAATCCCTACTACTGTATTGGGTGATTCACCTTGTTTAACCTGTGCCAGCTTGCACCTCGGTTTTGTTCTTTAAAGAGACACTAACACGCCCTAAAAGAGACACTAACACGCCCAAGCGATTTAATTTGTGTCAAGAGACTAGCCAGGAAATATTTTACTACACAGCCACGTATATATTTAATAAAGCCAAAAAACTCTGCAGTTCGAAACCGAAAAGACGATGACGACGAATTTGCGTGCACCGTTTGTCGTGCGATTATTTCGCACGACAAACGCTCAATGTCTGCGCTTGAAGATCAATTGGCTGGTATCACAAATGACCGTTCCGAAGTAAAGACCCCTCATCCGTCGCAACGTTGGTGCATCATGCGTCACCATCGCCCGCAGTACGTCACTGTATTGAATATGATATGCATACGTACTTCCTGTGATCTGTGTAAGATTTTTTTTTTCAATCAGCAGTTTTGCTGGCTTTTGGAGACCACAAAAATGGGGTCCATATTCTTTTTTTTTTTAATGTTGCGTGTGTGCCTTAGATGATGCAAAACTTTGAATATATTTGGTACATACAGTTTAAACCCCAGATAACCATGAAAAAGACAGTGAATGTGATAGCAAGCAACCAATTCAAGAATGGCTGTTTTTGAGCAGAAACAAACAAATTTGGATCCGCAAGTAATGTTCTGGGTAGTTGGAATATCGTAGGTCATGTTTAAACAAAAACCTCACCAAGCATAAACACCATATCAATGTCCCTTTAATAGATTACGAGTTACATTTCTAGACACAAGCATAAACAATTTTTGTGATTAAGTTGCAAGCACACAGTTAATTCATAGGAATGATGAGAGCATACTTTTGTTCACTAGTGTTGATACTGACTAAATGATAAACCATCATTTAAGACAAAAACAAAAAACGGTGCAAATGTCACAAGAGAACAGACACATAAAGCACAGTGCTATGGTGTGTTCACCTCCACCTCTTTTTACATATTTCCATTCTTTGCTTCTAACCCATTTGTTAATAATTTTTTGTTTGGGATTATTTGTGCTAGGGGTTCACTGTAATGACCCACCTGCCATAGCATTCACTTTAGGCGCAGTCCTCCCTTCTTCAAGGCACCATCCTCGAAGAAGTGCTAGGTGGGCGTCCCTTTCACTCTTGTGATGCAGTTCCTCAGGTTCCCATAGGTTGCAAGCTGCCAGACAAGCCAGCTGAGTCAGGAAAACCAGTCCTGCAGCAAATTTCACTTTAACACTTTTAGACGTAAACACCCATGCACCTAAAAGAAGACAAGACAAACAGCAAAGCAAGTGGTTAGTCCTTCTTAAATGACTTCTTTCATTTCGCTGGGAACATATGTATAGGTCACACACTAGTGTACATCCAGTGGTATGGCTTAATTTTAAGATGAGCACTCTCTTATATAACTTCAAACTTATCTAGAAAACACTGAATATAATGGGTCAGACATAAAAGTTATTTAAATAACCTGTATGTTTACTCAACATTTCCTTATATTATACACAAACAGTAATGCAGTGTGGGGCTGTGCATTAATTACAAACTTGCAACCGGTTAACAGTTGACATTTATTTAAATAATTGATCAGTTAACGAGTGACTCGGAGGTTTATAAAATTGTTAACATAATTTGAAATTGTGAGTATTACAAAATACAGTTGGAGAATGTAATTGCTGGGATTCCCATATCCTATGCAATGGAGGAACGAAACGTAATAATGAAGCCATTTTTATTTAGTGGTGTGTTTGGCACACAATCAAAGGTCATGGGTTGATGTGGCAGAAGCTGACATCAAATGCCAGCTACTAAGTATTATTGAAGTAATTAAAAAGTGAGATTTGGAATGCAATGCAAATAAGTCATTATCCTCCAACAGGAAACACAACAGCAAATTAATATGGTATAGCCCTTAGACAAGGATGCTGTACAAAGTTACTCCCTGTAATGGCCCACGAGCTCCCCAAATGAATAAAAATAAATAATAGTTCGTAATGACATAATAGGGCAACCTTCCATCAACACAAGTGACGTCAAGACAACTGTTATCGTATGACTGCCACGAAGCACGGACATCCACACAGTAGTCAATATATGCTGTCATTTCACTCAACTCACGCTACGATGCTTGCTAATCATGTCAGCTTCAGCCTGGTCAGGGTGGCACCTATTACAAAATTCAGACTTCACTTTAGTTTATGTCATGAAGAGAGACACACCATATAATAAGTAAAACAACCTTAACTAGAACTTTTAGCAAGGAGGAGGGTGCAATAGCTTATTGTACAGAACGTCTATGAAAAAAATCGAACCCTGGTTTTTGTACCGCAAAAATAAACTAGACTTTGGAGAAAGCTCAAACTCCGTTAGAACATAGCCGCAGCCATTCAAGCGAGATGCTCAAGTTTTAACGCATATCATTACCAGAATAAAAAGTTAGAGGTGGAAAACTGTTTTTGACTATAAGACGCCGTCCCTGAGAAGCAGCAGACAGAATGCCGCTGTTTGTGACAGCATCTCACAGATGGTGCCTCCACCTGCCAAGGGTCAGAGCCATAGATAGGGGAGAGTTTGGCCATCCATTGTCCTCGGTGAACCCATGCGGACCCTTGACTCCTCCCAACGGCATTGACGTTGGCCCTAGCAACCACGTGGCAACGATGAACCCGCTGCACATGACACGCTCCTGACCACCATTTTTGTTCTTATTCCCCGTACGCGTGCATAGGCTACTCTGGAGGTTTACCGGCTCCTTGATTTTCTGAGCTTTTATTTTCAAAGACAAAAATGATTTGTTGCTGCGCCATCGGGTGCTCTAACAGCAGCCATGACGGCTTTCAGTTGTTTATTATTCCGAAAGAAAAAAATGAGGGAAACTCTGGCTAATAAAAATAAAGCGCGACACGTGGACGCCAACAGCTGGTTCCCGACTTTCTGAGGTAAGAATCTTTTCATTTATTCCAAAAACTTTCCACTATGGAAATGATCACTTGTGCCTTGCGTGATCGCATCTATAGCTACGATTACAGACGGTATGAATTTATAAATTACTGTCAATAGCATTGATCTGGTCATATATGCAGTTCAAACTTTGGCTCAACTCAAGAAAAGTGAGACATAATTAGTTCGTTGCAATCAAGATAAGCATGGTGCGATCACTAAAGCTATGATCTTTGTTTGTTGCATAAAGATATACGAGCACATGGAATTTAAATGAAACAAAACGGCAAAGTTAATTTTAATTATGTGCATTTCTCATGTTCACTATCTGCAACATCTAAGGGGCCCTGGTTATGACAGCCCTGTTTAAACTAGTGACTGCTAAGTAAATTGAAAGTTATAAGTGTCCTGGATTTAATGTACATAAAGCAACTAAGCATGTAAACATTAATTATAGGGCATTATAAGGTAAAATAAATTATATTTTTCTAGGCACTTTCAAGAATCCCAGTTTGAGCAAAATCGCGCAGATGGCTGGATGAAGCTGAAGCAGAAGACTGCCATTTCAACAGTGTTTGCACGTTCTAATCGCAAGAGAAGGAAATCACCAATGATGCGAAATGCTCCATTACCAAAGGTAAGTGTGCCACATAACGGGTGTATTTTTTTTTATTCGTTCACATGTACCCCAAGCAAAATAAATAAGAGTGACATTAGGACACTTTTAATTTTGCCATTTGCTTACCCGACTTGAGGGACATTAAGAACAAAATTGTTTGTGGAGTTAGGCGGCTAAGTGTAGTTAGGCGAAGCAGCTCAGCGGCTCTGCTCCGCAAAGACGCTGTGCAAGCTTGTACAGCGTCCCAATAGACCTTTTTCTAAATTTCCCAAGCACCGAGTGCAGTTACAGGCATTGCACGTGCTGGCGTCTGCAGTAGTAATTGTTCAAAAGCAAAAAGTCTAAAACAAATTTTGCCTTGCACGCACGTTCGTCAAAGCCTTATTATGTTTATTTACTTTGAATCTTTTATAAGAGAAAGGCCAGCGCGCGCGGACCGTAGAATTACACTTCCAGCGTTGTTCTCGATGCTTGGGTAGTTTAGAAAAAGGTCTAATGGGACGCTGTCTGCTTTTGTGTGCTATCAATACCCGGCCGATTCAGTCAAGGCAATCCGCTCTCCAAAGACGTTGCCATGCCGACAATTATTGCATTCATTTAGGCTTAGTAATGGCCAGAATCAAAAGACTATAAGAAAATGCGGCGAGGTCATTGCTCATGCTTTGCGATTTAAGTAAGGTAAGGCAAAGTGAAAGCCTCCCGCACCATTTGTTGCTGACTAACGCGCCCGATATTAAAGCTACAACGACATATTAGTTCCAAAGCGAGCGGCACTCACTCACCGGGGCACCGCCATGTTTCCCCGCATCTTTACCGAGCCAGTCACGTGATATAATAATCCCTCTCCTAGGTACTGCGGCAAACTTTAGCCGCTGTTAGCGCTTTGAGCAAACGGGCCCAGACTATGTTGTTCACGCGTTAACTGCAGTTTAAGGAACGCTAGTTGGTTATAAAATAAAATTGAACATAAGCAATTAATGCAAGTGCATGTAAACGACTGTTGGCATTCGCGAGGACAGAAGCAGATGATGTCTGCTTCGGTACTTATCAAAATGCCTTTTCACAGAAAAAAAAAAAATTCAAGTGACTACAATTTTAGGTTTTTCAGTTAGTTTTATTTCCTTCTATAAAGAACCGACAAAGTTGGGGACAAGGATACAATACTTTTGTCAGGTATTGTAACTTTGCTGCCAGTCGCTCGGGTTAGACCATTGAGGGAGCGCTGGAAGCCTCGAGGGCAAGTGGCGCCATCTGCACAACCTACTCGGCAACGGCAAATGAAGATCCGGCATGGAACAAATCAATTTACGACTGCATCTCAAAAGACATTGGCTCAACCTTCCAAAATGAACCGATAATGATTGTGGGTGACTTTAACTGCCATATATTAGAACTGGATGGTAGGGAAAGCAAAGCAGCAGAACTCAGGAAACTAGTAAAAAACACAGCATAAAGGGGGGGGGGGGGGTGCAACGATTTCCGGACTTCGGTCAAAAATTTGTGGAAGTTGCCCTCTGACACTTCTGAAGTAACAAACAGAAAACCGATTTCTCCAGCGTGCCCTAGTTGTTGCATAAAAAAAGATAAATATTGGCATTTCGGGCACCCCTCAACTCACTTCCAGTCTTCAGGGTCACACCGGGTCCCCCTCCTAGTGACGTCCTTCGGAGTGCCGTGTGGGTTCCCGTGTGCTGTCTCGGAGGACACTTCCTCTCCCTCTCTCTGCTGACAATAGCGGGCGTTAGGCTGCAGCTTAGAGCCGAGCGAAGTCACGTAATCTTCTAGCCGTAGTTCCTCCGGCTGCCACTTGCGGCTGCAAGTGGGGGAAAAAGCTCGGCTTTTGCTTTGCAATTATGCAGCGGAATCGCAACATTTTGAAGGAAGGAAATGGTTTCTCTATCCCCCGGGGCACGATAAACAGCGTAAAAATGAGGAGATGCAAATTCTTTTAACCATAAAATTGTTGAACCCCCCTCCTTTAACTATAGTTAACCTGGAGCCACAATGCAAGGGAAAAACAACCTGGAGCCGCAACAACCAAAAATCAACAATTGACTATATCCTCATAAACGACGAGGCAGGCAAAGAAAACATCTAGATGCTATACACATAGACGAGAGCAAGGTAAGCAGCTGTGCAAGCAATTATAACAGAATACTGCTAAAACTAAACACCAACAACCAAAGACAGAAAAAAATAAAAACATCCAGGAAAACCACTGGAAGCTAGGAGCAGAACATAAAATAGAAAAATTTGCATCAGAATTGGAGAAAAAAATTACAAAAGACAACACATATGAAGAACTAATGAGCCTAATTACCCAAACAGCCAAAGAACAAGTGGAAAAAACCAGGAAAGGGAAACAATAAAACCGAAGGCCCTGGTTCGACAGGAGGTAAAGGAGGAAATTGGGAAGACGAGAGATCAACAGGCAGCACAGGTGGGCACAACGAAAAGGCTACACCCAAGACTACCTGTGGGAATGTTTTGAAGAACAAAGAGTTCGAGTGAAGGCACTATACCCCGTTTCACCTCATGTTGTACCGCAGCGAAGGCTAGAAGTGTGAGCTCATAGCGTTGGCAGCTGCCCTTGGTGCACGAGAGCTTGTGCCGCCGAGGTGTGCCATTGAGCAAGGAGCTCGCGCTTGTAGCCTTTCCTGCGGTACAACACAAGGTGAAACAAAGTATAGTGGCCACAAAAATTCAACAGTTCTGCAGAAAGACAGAGGAAGACATACTGAAAAAGGGGAAAAAATCTAACGAGACATTCTGGAGACAAATTACTACAATGCATGCAGAAAAAAAGAAAGAACAGACACGTATGCTGCAAAGAGGGGGCAAAGACCTGAAAGAAAAATGCGAAATAGAAGAATGGATGACTGAGTACTTCTTACAGCAACAACAAAAAACTGAAGCAAACCCCGGAAGAGACATACAGTCAAAAAGAAACTTTGGGAAAACGCAAAATACAGAAGCATTCCATACTAGATCCTATAACCACGGGGGAAATGAAGAGGCAAATAAGACGACTGAAAAACAAGAAGGCAACCGGTATAGATGATATTCCGAACGAGTTCCTGAAGGCAATTAAAAAAGAAGCAGCAAACAACCTCAGAACATGTTTTAATGAACGCCTGGTGTCAACAGAAATACCGTAAGTGTGGAAACAGGCAAGAGTAAAGCTCCTATATAAAGGGAAACAAGCAGACCCAAAAGACCTCAATGCCTATTGACCAATCGCAATAATCAGCAGTCTGCAAATTATTTGCAAGCATAATAAACCACAGGCTACAGATCTTGTATGATAAAAACAACTTTTTCGTAGAAGCTCAAAATGGCTTTCGGCAAAACAGAAGAACAAGCGATAACCTATTTACGTTAATCCCAAGCCATAGAAATGAAAAACATCCAAAACTACCAGTTGTTCCTGGGATTCCTAGACCTAGAGAAAGCATATGATGCAGTACCACACCAAAGATTATGGGATAAGATGTAGAAAAGCGGACTCGAAAAGGAAAGTGTCGAACACCTGAAGAGCTTGTACAGGGGTTGCGAGGCCTGGTACACATTAGAAAACTACAAATCAAAACCAGTACCAATAAGTATTGGACTGAGACAGGAGCGTCCCCTATCGCCAACACTGTTTAATGTGTACACAAACGACCTTCTCAAACATCTCAAACATCTGGAGGAGGAAGGGGCAGGGTTGGGCTTGAGCACTACGACCAAGGACAGACAGGAAGAATACACGCGCATCCCATGCCTGGCCTTTGCGAATGATGTGGTGCTCCTCGCAGAGTCCTCAACCGATATGCAGCACATGATTGACATCTGCACAGGGGTGGCAGCGAGGGACAACCTGAAATTTAATGCAGGAAGAACGCAGTGGATGGGCTCCAACGTGAATTTGGACACCAGCTTTTACCTACAAAACTAAACAGTACAGAAAACAACAGCCTACAATTACCTTGGTGTAACAATAACGCACAGCAAGGACTACCTGACCAAAGAGGAAAAAAACGTAATTAAAAAGTCAAACAAACTGAAGGGGGTGGTGTGGCATCTCGCCAGGCACTCATACAATAGACACTCTATTGGGAGGCTACTATGGAAATCCCTTGCAGTCCGAGCAGTGACTTACGCGAATGATGCGCTTACATACAGCGAGACAGTGGTAAAGTGTCTGGATCGACATCAATACAGACTGGGGAGATGGCTGCTGAGCTGCACAGCAAACGCAGCGGTAACCGGGGAAATGGGATGTCTACCCACGAGATACGAGAGGACAGGTCGAAGCTTGCATACATGGGCAGACTAAAGTTCCTTCCCCAGGAGAGCTACGCCAGAAGGATGTACTACCACATCCGATATCAGGGGCCCAAGACAGGCTGGATGAAGAGAATAAAGACCATAGATTCTAAGTACGGTGGGGGCACAACAAGACATCTGGTGACGACGGAACAGGAGTGGGCGAGGACAATACGGGCAGTGGTGACACGGGCCGGAATAGAGGACTGGAGAAGGACAATGCAGAGGATACTCAGCCTCCAACTGTACAGGAAACACAAGAAGGAACCAGCGCCCTATCCACACTAGCAGGGAGACCGAGCCAGCGCGCTGCTGTTCCAGGCTCGAACGGGCTCCCTACTGACCCAGAGACGCAGATTTGAGCTCTATGGAGAAGATCCAAACTGCGAGCTCTGTGGCGGCGACGAGGAGACTGTCGAACACATCTTGGGACAACGCAGTAGCATCGACCATAAAGGGCAAAGCGCGTTGTAGTGCGGTATAGCACAGGCCCTTGGCTACGGAGAAGAGGCCGAGGAGGGCAGCGACGACGACAGTGACCGTAAAAATTACACGCCACATGGGGACATGAATCATCCGACGGAGGCAACAAAACGCCGCCTCGTGGCGTGAGAGGGACTTTGCCGAATCGCAAAACCCCTTGCCTAGAGCGGAACGCCTGAACTGTGGCCTGAACAACCTCAACAATGCACATCCCCCCCCCCCCCCACCCCCACCCCCCCTTGCCGCCCTACCACGCACACGCCCGCTGTCGCACAAGCCGTCTCGCTAGCAGACGGACGGAAGAGCGCAGTGGCGCAGCGAGCGCAAGAGAGAATTTATCTCGGCCTCAGGGTGCGCCGTGCGTGCGGAGCAAGGCGACGGGCGGCGCAGGTCGGAGCGCTGTTTCAGCTCATTTTGTCCGCGATAGTACAGGTTGAGAAGTTGAAAGCAGATCACCCCGTTATCATGTCGCTAGTACCACGGCAGAACTTCAAAATGAAATATTAACGATAAACTCGCGGATACCATAAGAACCCCAAAATATCGCCGTGAGAATGCAATTGAATGAGGGCACTCTGGGCACAGGGTATTTTTAAAGAGCGAAAGCAATCCGCGAAACCACGAAAGAGACAGTCAGACATATGTGGTCGCTCCCATCAAATGTAAACAATAAAAGGTTTCTATATTCACTTACCAGGTTCCCGAACAAATAACAAGTGTTCGAAAGAATGTTGCAGATAATATCTCACCTTTAAATCCGTCAACACGTCCAAACGACACGTCCAGATGAAACTGCGAGTCTGCGACGCCTTTGAAAAGATGGATTGTCTTGGCCGGCCGGTTTAACGGTTTTACCGGTTTTACTTCAAAGCGCTGCCCATGCAAAGAAACCGAAACTATACTTGAGGTAGTTTCGGTATAGATTCCGGCAGGTTTGAAAGATCAAGGAACGAAAGTAAACCCTGAGACAATGATAAACAAAATAACAGACAAAACAACTTGCCCTCTCCGTTATTTTATTTCTCCTTGTCTCAGGGTTTAGATTACGTTAAAAAAATTAAATGCATTTTTTACGTGCGTTGTGTGTGTGTGTAGGTGTGAACGCGAGAGTCCGTGTGCGTGCCTCTGCGGATGCGATTGCGTGTGCAACACTGGTGTGTGCAGGCGTGCATGCGTCTGTGTGCATGTGTGCGCGGGAGCGCGCGCGTGTATGCCACGTCCCTGTGCGCGTGCGTGTATGTGTGCGTGCGTGTGCATGTCTGCATGAATGTGCGTCTGTGTGTGTGCTTGCGCGCTCGCGTGTGCGTGCGTCTGTGTCTGTGTGCGTTTCATTTTGTTAGCCCTGGACATTGGTGACATAATTTTTTTTTAGAAAGGGGGGGGGGGGGGGGGGGGGGTCCGTATGCCGCAACCTACCGCCACATTTTTGGGGGGTATTGGGGGGATTCCCCTGGCTACGCCACTGGCCCTGGATGTAAAACAAAATGTAATTTGTGTAGCTAAAAAGCGGCAGAATATTAACAGTAGCGGTCAGGTGTGCCTGCGGAGACTTTCAAACTTCGTTTAAAAATAGGGTGTAAAAAGAAAACAAAAAGTCATTTTGGGAACAAACTACGGCCAACCTACTTCAAAAAGTGAAAAAAAAAAAAAAAGAACTTTTAAATTTTTGCAGTGAAGACAAAGGCACCGGCACGAGCGCGTGGCTTTTGAAAGTGCCTCTTATGAACGAGTGCTCGTACAAACAAAAGCACACTACTGAGCGATGCTCACGCGCCTCTCTGCGCCTTTGTCTTTACTGCAGACATTTCTAAGATGGAGTATAGTTAGAATTTCCAGCGCCTTTGGGATGATAGCATCAGTGTCCCGAAATACTGTGACGTCATCTTGGCTGCAAGCCATGCTCACGAAATCCCTAGCTATTTCTATACTGAAAGCATTTATGAAAATAAATATCCTTTGCATTTAAAAATATCTTTAAGGGCACACATTGTACTTCGGGCATACTGTGAATTAGAGTAGCTCGTCTTTATATTTATTCATTTTCATTAATTCATTTATATTGGTTGTTGAAGTGCTACAAATATTTATTTTGGAAAATGTGACGAAGCCATAGCATAAAAAAACAATAAATTTTGCACAAAAATGCACAAAAAATAAATAAATGCAGGCACAGTTTGTACTACGCGACGAAGGGATAGCACAATTGTTAAAAAAAGCACAAATAAAAAAATAAAGGCAGAGTTTGTACTAAAACAAAAGAAAGCGTCATTTCCAATCTCCCTTTCAAATCACGATTCCAGAGATGCTACTAGTGTTTCCGAAAGCGTTATTTTTTTTTTTTTTTTTTCTCCACCTGGTTTCCGAAACCGAAACCAAAAGTATTCAGAATTTACAGTAGCACCAAAACAATTTTGCACAAAAGCGGTCACTCCAAAAATATTGTCGCAGGCGCGTTAAAAAAAAGCCGTTGTTTATACGACGTGTAAAAGAAAAAGTAAAAAAAGAAAAAAAAGAGCATTTAAAGTTTTGCGTTTGTGACCACCACTTGCTCCGTAGTTCCAGATGGTCTGGCACAGTCTGGCATACGAATGGGAAGCGCGCCGTCGTCGACGTCGCTCTGTGGTTTGCGTTCATTTCTACCTTTAAACCGATTCCTTTAGGTTTTTTTTTCTTTTTTCTTTTACAGGTACTTTGTCAAGAGTAACAAACGATATCTGGGAGACGCTGATGGACGCTGCGTCTAGTCAACGACCGTAGGTTGTGCACGGCTGCCGGAGCACCTTCGGGAAACGCTAACCGCCGGTAAGCAAGTGTTTCTCTTTTAAATTGATTCGATAGCGTGTTGATTGAACATATTTGAAGGGATATCCAGCTAGTTTTCGTTGTAGATTCAAAGTTTGAAGTGAGACGCATGCCGAAATGACAGAGACGAGCTTAGAGCATCGCCGCCGGGCGTGTCACGTCCGAATAGATAACTGTCGAGCCAGTCCATCCAGGCTGTCCCTATTCGCACTCCGAGTGCGGATAGTGGGCGCGTTAAGTCGGCGCTTCTTTACTTCTACTCCGACGCTCCGAGTTTCATACTCCGAGCGCAGCAACTAAACGGCGCATAGCGTACAAGAGCGCGATACACCGAGGCTGCGTTCCAAACCTACTCGAATGGATCCGAGTTACACTGGCCGATTATGTCACGTGACAACAAAAATAGAGAAACGCTGGACGCGGTTAGGTTTTCGATAACCACCTTTACCCTAGAGTTAGATCGGTAGATCGAGTAAGCTCCTTCCGACCGTGAATACGGGTGGCAGAAGCCGAAAATATTTCGAAGATAAATAATTAGGCCCGTGTGGAGCCGCAGACTCTAAAGCAAAAGAGACTGCAACGTATGAAGTTTCTACGAACGTTTTAATATTCCTGAAAGGTTTTAAGACCCGTTTCGTGCACATATCTGGAAGGTTACCATGGCCGATCTACAGGGTGAAACAAGGAGACGCCAGGCTCTTCAAATTAATTGAAAAATTCGGTCTCTTATAGCGAGTTCGTTTCGCACACACTGGCACCGTTCGAGTTCTCTAACAGAAGGCATCGCACTCACAGAGTGTTGCACGGAAAACTGGACTCAAACGAACTTGCCAAATGCACCGAGTGCAGAAGACTGATGCTGCCGCCATCTATGTTGTAGAAAAGGCACCGACTTCAAACCGAAACTAGCGCCTTTCTGTTCCGAGCATAGAGGTTCCGAGCGATGCGTGGGAATGCGAGAATGCAGTTGCTACCAACGTTTATCTACTAACGTTGGCAACTGCAGCCTGTAGTTTATAGTTGCAATGCCTTCAAGCAGCTCGGCTGCCGTAGAGCTAGTTACAGACGGCGTAAATTTCCGCAACCAGCTGTCTACAAAGCAGCTGGTTGCGATCTTTCAATTCTTATAACCGTTTACACTGAAGAAAACTAATGATGCTGTCCGAGCAGAAGCTTGATCCGTTTGAGCATGGTATTATGCGTGAACCACTGAAAGGGTACGGCTTAAAACTAGCCTGTTAGAATATCCAGCAAAACTGGGATTTTCGATTTAAATCGTCACTATAGGTGGATTAGATATTAGCTTTGGTGAGGGCGTCGAGAACGAGAGCTTTCTCGAACAAAATACGACGGGGCAAGTTAGCTGCTTAGGTAAATGTTAAACATGATGATGTTGCCCAATCCTCGGGTAAAGTCACCATCTTTAGCTTTCTTTGATGCTTATTGGGTAGTCAGAGGGGGAGTTTTATCGACAAATGTTCAATTTTTCACCCGCACACGGATGGTGATAGAAATCTCGAGGGCCGCTGTTGCGTTTGTTCTGAGCATTTCTTTACACACTGGTATATTTCAGCGTTTTTACGGCAACAGAGTGATTTAAAACCTGCAAATGAATCACGGGTTGTCAATTGCTTCCTTCGTGAAATAGCAGGCGCTCACAATTCAAGTTCGCGTTTGATTTCGTTGCCCGCGGGACATGATTTCTATCAGAAAATCTACTTTTTTTTTTTCCGTAGAGTAGATTGTTGGGCTAGTTGGTTTTAGAATTTGGAATACATTTTAGCGCTCAAAAAACAGGGACAAAGAGGCGAGAAACAGACAGCACAGTGCGCTTTTGGAATACATTTTAGCGCTCAAAAAACGGGGACAAAGAGGCGAGAAACAGACAGCACTGTGCGTCTGTTTCTCGCCTCTTTTTTTTCCGTTCGGTTCCGCCACATATCGTAGGAGACGAACCCTCGTCGTCTGCTCCCGCTCCTCGCCGGCCCCGCCGGAGCGAGGCATGACGGGATTGCATTTTGGCGCACTCCCGATTTTCTCGGTGCAGCGAGCGCATGCACGCGTGGGGTGTCAGCGATGAAACGAACTCGGAGAGTGCAACCACTCGTGGAGCGCCGGCCGAAACGAACCCGTTCCTTGCTGCGAGTGGGCACGCGTGGGCACGAGTGTTGTGAAACGAACTCGCTATTAACCTATCGCGCTACGACTTTGTGCAGCGTTGCCCACAGATGGTGCATTTTTTTTGTAAAATTTGAAAAGAGCGAACTTACCTGAAGAAAAAGTAAAGAAAGAAAAAGGCTTAGCTCCTATGGAAACGCAGCGTAGCCACCGGTCTTCAAACAACACGGTGCCGTTTCGCACGGGCCACAAGAGATGGCGCAAGCGGTCGTGACGCCAACTGCCGCCAACGAACGAGCAGACGACGCAGACAGGAACTGCAGTTCCTTGTTGTTACCGCACTTGTTTTTGTTTCTGCGATTGTCGCCGCCCGCGGAACGCGCTCCGCTTTTGAGTCGAAAAGATTGTCTGCTTGAGGCGCTGGCTCTCGGCGCCGTTTGCTCGTTCGTTGGCGGCGTTCGTTGCGCCATCTCTTGTGACCCGTGCGAAACGGCGCCGTGTTGTTTGAAGACCGGTGGCGTCGCTGCGTTTCCATAGGAGCTAAGCCTTTTTCTTTCTTTACTTTTTCCTCAGGTAAGTTCGCTCTTTGCAAATTTTACAAAAAAAGTGCACCATCTGTGGGCAACGCTGCACAAAGTCGTGGCGCGATAGGTTAAGAAACCGAATTTTCCGGTCGATTTAAAGAGCCTGGTGTCTCCTTGTTTCACCCTGTATTTATAGGGCGTATTTACTGGCGGCCATAGCTATGTGCGCGACTGCTGAGCCTGTGCTGACGGCGTGCTTCCATAGTTCTTTCGCCACGTGCGTTTCGCACCACCAAGATTGCCGGTCTTAGGAGCCTATTAACGTGAGCTCGTTCCGAGCATGCGCTCTAAACATCGCCCTCAAATATGGCGTCCAGTGAATACTCCCTATTGACCATGCATGCTGTTACGATTTCAATTAAAGAAAACATTCTTGAACCGGCTCGTCGACGCAGGAAACCCCCAAATTTGTCAGATTCCCTGGTTCCGTCGGTTCTGTCTCGCAGCGAGACGGAAGCACGCCGATACCGGCGCACCGTTGTTCAATTGCACGTCAATTCGTTTTTAGGCGGTATGCATGGAGCAAACCTTTCCCGCAACGCTAACTGGTGTTTCGGCTTTCCAATCTAAGTAGTGATGGGACGAATCACTGGAGATTCGGATTCGGTCGGATTCGGAAATTTCCGAACTTCCCGTGACGAATATTCGGCAGATTCGGAGATTCGTCAGGTTCGTTGCTGGTTGCAGACGGCACTATGAACCTTGTCGTAAACCTCGCGAATGCGGTCAGTTGTGTTCCAGATTTCGTCTTGCTTACTTCAACTTATGGTATGTACTGTACTGTCATTCTAAATCCTGGCACGCGCCCAGGTCCAGCTGAGCTGATCGGTGTGGTTGGCGTAGGCCTAACAAATGCACGGTTTTGGTTTCTGTGCGGTTTCGAGGGGATCGGTAAAATGTAGCGAAATGCTGTCTATTATACATAATGTGGCGCAACGCTCAATAAATATATTCAGGCAAGGAAATGATTCGTCTCCTTTTCTAGAGCTAGCTGCGTAAGACGCGAGAGCGATGAAAAGTGTTGCTCGTCCCAGCTTCGACCGCGTACGGCACCGGCGAAGAAAAACGTCACACTGGCACTGTCGTTTCTTCGTCTCGGCAGCAAGTATTGTATACTAGAACTTTATTTGATGAAAAAGAAACAACATAGGGGTGTCTAGCGCAACTTTATTGTTCAGGAACAAACACTAATTAAGATATCATTAACTAGAAAGGTACAAATACTCCTTCCGCCGTACATAGTATGGCGCAAAGACTTTTAGATTGTTTCCCGTGTTTCGATAACAATACCGCAGTGGACACACGTTAAAGATAATCGAATCGAACATACTTACATATGTGTGGTGTGTGCTACTGGTGCTACTATGACCGTAATTATGGGCACGAGATGTGTTCCTGCCGAACTGCACATACGGCATCAATCTCTTGTGAGGGGGGGGGGGGGACTGCTGCGAACCTCGGACGAGCGCGGTCGACGTCTCTGGTAACCCCGGAGTATGAGAACTTGATCTTCACGTAAACATCGGCTCGCTCCGTCGACCCGCCGCTGCACTGGCTGCACGTCTGCTGAATCCCGCCGGGCTGGGGCGGCCACGCCCAGCCTGACGAGATCCACGGGGAACTTTTCATGCTTGCGTTTCGCTGGAAGGGCAGCCGCGGTTGTCACTGCCATGGCCCCGCCGACAACGCCGGAGGTCCCTGGTCCACAACCGGCTGTCGCCGAACCGCCCAAGCCACTCGGGCGATGAAAACATGCGCTTGTATGCTTGTATTTCGGCGTGCACCAAGCATGCCTATTTTGGTCGTAATCCGAAACCGAAACCAATGTTCCCGCGATGCCTGGTTTCCATTCTCGACAAACATCCAAAATATTATAAACAAAGCGGAGCATTTTATTAATTACTATGATATTATATTACAACATTATTTTGTGCACTTTGTAGAATTTAGTGAATTTAGTATCACGAAAAGTTGAAACACTCATCAACGTGATCTGGCAACCATGGCAACGCTTTGAATATTTCCGAACTTTTCCGAATCGCTTGAGATTCGGCTCGATATTGACCCACCTTTCTGGGTAATCCTACGTGGTACACAAAATCCACGACGACATGCGAGCACATTTCACCCACCACTTTTCGTCGCCTGTTTCGCGAGATACACACACTGTCCAAAAAACGACGTGAAAAATACGTGCACTTGCGCCATCAAACGATACGTTACAGCCTCGTTTTTTGAGAAGACAGTTTCCATCGCCAACACGCGCGCGCGCGCAAGCAGTTTGGGCCACAGTTTGGA